CCCCCCGCCCCCCCGGCCCCCTACTTACCAGCTCTGAGTCTGACTGCAGCTCCCTGCTGCAGCCACTGGGGACTGTCTGAATCATCAAAGCTCTCCGAACCTTGTTCGAAGATTCGGAGAGCTTCGAATCAATTTGGACCTTTTAATTGGTCCCCTGATTCAATTCAGATTCAGAGATTCAGCCACCGAATCAGGCCGAATCTCCGAATCGAATCACCACCCAAAGCTTTGTACAGCCCTATCGACCAGTACCTCTCCCACTCTCCTTCAGAGTTTGCCTAGGATGGAAACCCTGCTTGTTATGCCTCTGCCATTCTATGTGTATTGTGGGAGGCAGAATGAAAAGGCAAATCTAAGGCTACAGATTTAAAGCCAAATTCTGTTTCCTTGGATTAGAATCAGTGGCACTACTCTATGTGAGTAAAGTCAACAAAATCTAAAACTTAATTTGCAGGTAATCTCAAAAGACAAAAATTTATGTTGCAGTCTATGAAGCCACAGTGCATCAAAATGAATCAATAAAGCAACCTTTTTACATTGTTTTTATTTGAGTAGTCCCAGAAACCCTGTTACAATTAACCAGCTTTAGTTAGAGGCCATGTTCAAGTAGAATGACACTCAGGCTTTGAGAAAATGAAATTTATTTTTCAAAGCTGAGGGTATTCAGCACTACAGTGCTCAAAGTGGTACTTCTCTAAAAACAAGACTGTCAAAAATTGATTGGAAAATGTTCTCTCATAGATTTGTTACAATATGAGGCAAACATGCTCTTCAGACAAAGTGGATTTTTTTCTTTAGAACAGAAATCTATGGGTGACTCACGGCATTCATGAGATGAAGATGAAATTTCCTTAATTTGTGCTCACAGTGCAGATTGCCCAACCTAAAATCCATAGGATTAATATTCAACTTTTATTTGACAGTCTTCACTATCTTTCAGGACTGAGTATACATAGTGTATGTATTGCACACCACTGACCCCTGAAGGTTGAATTCAATGTGTATTTTCAGACAGTAGGCAAAGAAACATTAATGAACCATGCAAAAACATATGGTACTTTGTATTAAAGGAAAGAAAATAAATGTAAATTGCTTTGCTCCATAGCTGTTTCTAGCGTATGTGTATTTGAGAGACTTTTCTGAGAAACATTGCTAGAAACAAATACACATAATTCATTTAAATGTTTATTTTTATTTTTGTTCTATTTATATTTTATTTTGAAGTTTGTAATAGAGTGGTTGTAGGTTCATCTATTGTGTGTTCACCCCACCATTTTAGAGACAATAGAAGACAGCAAAATAGGATTTCCTGAATTTAGTGATTAAAACAGTATTTTGGGGCATAATGGAGGAATGAGTGGGTGAAATTCTGTGTGTTATGCAAAAGGTCAGACTATATGATTACAATGGTACCATCAAGCCTTACAGTCCATGGTGCTAGTTAAATTCACTTTGGTTGGTGCAGATAAGATTGTTAGTTCAGCCTCCTGCATGAGGCAGAGATTAAGGCTTTGCAATGCGTCTTAAAAATGCTTGAACAAACTTCTTTATCGCTACTAGCATGTTTCAACTTTAGTCTTCTTTACTTCCAATTTATATAAGAAAAAAATATCCATAAATAGGAACTAGCTTTTCCAGAGAGCATGAAACTGATTTGCATACACAACGCTTGTATTTTCCCCTGTAAAATGAGTCATCATACGCAAGCAATTAGACATGCAAATGGATGTTGAATGCTCAAACCCTGCTACTATAGCTCTGGTATTTATCAGCTCAACCTAGGCATCCACACTGGAAAATTTCTCCCTTTATTTTTTTTTTCTAAAATCTCCTTTTCCTTCAAGCTTCATAGGTCTAGAGCACAAAAAAATGCCTCCCAGGACCGTAAAGATGCATAAGCTCCATTGACCCTGAAGATATGTTTGCAGTATCTCCTTGTTATGTTAATAGGATCCAAGAGTTGTAAGGAACCTCAAGGGTCATCCTGTTTTTTCCATCCTTAT